AATGATCGTAGATGAACACCAACTCTCATACTTGTTCTAGTAATCGTCCGCCTGTTTTCCTTCATTTAAGATCTCCAGAAATCATCGGCTATTTGTGGTGTGTCTGTGCGATTGATTCTCGAGAATCATCATCTTTGCTGCATGTAAAATTATCTCCTTGTTCTGAATGGATCTGAGGCGTGTTGTAATGCTATGATTTGGGAAATTCCATCCATGATGGGATTAAAATCTGTTGGTGGATTATTCGCATAAACCCAATTAAATCAGCACGTGGGTTCAATCGTCGATTTACTGGTTCACCCTATTTCTTTGTTTCTTTAACTTGTGTTATGCATAAATGAAGAGGAATTGTGCAAAGTCCATTTGGTGAGTTGGAGCCAAATTGGAGGTCTGCCTCTGGGTCATGGATGGGGGTCAGCCCTGATAATGAAGCGGAGCAGTCTCGGTGCAGAGGCGTGGGGCGCTGCATCCTCATCTTTCAGCATCGACGGGGTTAGGATGGAGGCCAGCCAGCTTGGGTTTTTACTCCATATACATGGGCGGGTGGAAACTTCGGATAATGCCAGCTCTGGCGTGTGGTTGTGAGGAAATCCGTGAGTTACTTCATGAATTTGCTGCTAATTTTGATGATTGAGATAATTCTTTTTTATCATTTTTACGTCATAGTTGCTGAGAATATCTGTCTTTGATTTGCCAGTCAAAGTTCGATGTCTAGGGTAATGAAGTATCGGCAATGGATTTTGGGATGCAAGAGCTAGATTTTTTATGCGAAACTATTGTATTGATTTTTGTTTAATTTGAAACTTGATACTGCTGTGACAATTTTGAGTTGCGGGATAGTGGAGTTTATCCATTTATAGTGAATGTGTCGTGGGTCCATTGGACTAAACAAAGAGACATAGCGGTTACTATTTTCTTTAAATGGTTACAACAAATGCTGCGTATTCCTTACTCCTTGTCTTCACCTCTCTTCCTCCTCGGCACATGCTAAGAGAAAAAAGATCAAATAGGAAGTTGGTGGCTGTTTAAGTTTTTCTTTTGACCTATAGATAAATGAAACAAAGGATACACCAGTGTTGTTAAAGGTGAAGGCACACTCAAGGCGAAATGCTTTGTAAAATGACTTAGGCGCAAAGCGCTAGAAAGGCACACGCTTGGATGAGAAGGCACTTTCATGTGAAATGCATAATGTATTGACAACAAATCATATTTTAAATGATAATTGTAAATTTACTTAATCTTCATAGAAATACTCTGAAAAATAGTGTCATATGAAGAGATCATAGATAAAAATAGTAGTCATTTTATACATCATGGATAAATATCCTGGAAAATATCATCCAAATCCGCCAAAAGGCACTCACCTTTGCTTGAGAAAGGCGCCTGTGGAGCTTCTGAGCGAACCCATCATCTCTCTTCAAACGACAGGTGATGAGGCTGTTCTTGCCTCGCCTCGTGCCAAAGGCACAAGGGGAGTGCCTTTAGCAACACTGGCATACCCACTGAAAACGAAGCAAACAGCCAAAAGAAAAAATGGCACAGTAACAGGGACAATTACTACCCGAGAAAAACTTCTCACGAAACCCCAGCGAACATCCTCATCCACAAAAAGCTTTAGTGATATCCAGGCCAACATTTCCAGCAAGATGTGTTGCGAGTTTTCTTCAAGGCAAACAGTCGAGGACAGAGGAACAATTCCAATTGACAAAAGTTTTCTTTGTCTCCCAAAAACATAATTTAACAACTCTTCATAATCAGTCCCAGAACAAGCTCCACCTTTAAATAACCTGAGCCAAAAATTGCTTTCCTTATTGCCAATGCTCACGCCCATAAGGTGAAGAAGCTTCCATTATGACAGAAACTATCACAAAATTCTTGATTATGGTTTCCTGAAATTACGTACTGCATCTTCTGCCTTTGAAGAAGTTGTATCAAAATTAATATTCATCTGATCAGGTGTGGGAAATAAAGAAATATTTCTTTGCTCTCGTAGGGGCTGATCTACATGGGTAAAGATCTAGGATTAAATGTTGATGGACAGAAATTAGAAAAAAGTTAAGGTTCATAGATGCAATTTCTTTTTGCTTATATATGTAGTTGAAATAAATTTAGAATAGACTGAAAACTATGTCTATTTATTCCTTGTGGGTTTTCATGCAATGGGAACTTAGATGTGTGTACATGAATGATTCAAATCATTGAGAAGGAAAGAACTCTGGATCTTTGGTTAGTGGAGAGGAGAAGAATCAGGGGAAAAACCTGCGACAATTAACCATTAATTAAAACTGCCCAGTCAGTGTCAAAATAAACTTGAATTTTCTGTTTGACTCTTTTTTGAAGGAAGTCCCATCTTCAAGATTCACTTCTAAATATCTCAATATCTGATACACAATTTCTAGATGTTCTTTAGTTGGCCTATCCATGCATTGGCTAATGACATTGACAGGAAAGCTTATGTTTGGCTTGGTTTGAACTAAATATATCAACTTACTTACCAGTCTTTGGTCACCACTAGTATCAATTGGAGGACTATTTCCTTTGAGGCCGCTTTACAATTTATGTTCATTAGTTTTTTTCATATGGTTTACATTCAAGCATCACCATATTTTCTAATAATTTTGACGAACACTTCCTTTGGGAGGTAGACTACAATATCATTTATAGAGTGTGGAGCCTCCTTCCTAGAAAATATTTGAGATTGAAGAAACCAAATAATTGGTATTTTCTTCTTATTCCATATGTTGTTGAACTATCAAGTAGTAATAGATGGAAATGGGAGCTATAAACTAGCAACTCAATACCAGTAATCATGAAGCAAAGTCAGAACAAAATAAAATCACTATATTAAATCTCTAATTATTGGAACAGAATATAATAACTAGAGATAGTGTGGCCCTCCTTTTGTTCATGTAGACACTCTCTTATAAAACTCCCTATTTGCACGATTCCTCTCTCCCCCCCCTCTCTCAATAAGCGTTGCTTTTGGTTAGTGGGCCCTTTTTGGCCCTTTTCCTCATATGCACTTGGCCCCATTTCTTTTAAGAGGGATCCTTGGGCTTGCTCCTAGTATAAACCTGATTCATTTGCCCACTTTTTCCGTCAGTTTACCATTATGGTTCAAGTGAATGAATGAAGTAAACCAATTATTTTCAGTTGTAAGATGTTGGAGCGGGGGAATTAAGATAATCTTTAAGGAGCTGTCACATGGTGTTTTAAAATTCAGTTTTTGTCTGCACTTGTTGTAAAAGGTAAGTATCAATAAGAATAGCCTTATCAATATGATTTTGGCACATAGGAAGCAATTATGAGAGAGCTTATGACCTGAAGAAAGTGTCTGTTTTTTCCTCTTTGATACTCCATTCTGTTGGGGACTCTCAGCTTGAGAAGTCTAATTTATAATGCGTTGCTCACTTAGGTGTTGACATATGATAGAATTAAAGGGATCCCCTCCATTATCATTCTAAATTTTTAATGGTTGCGTTAAATTGATTTTTTTTTCTTTGGTGTAAAGTTAAATTTATTTTTGACATAGGAGTGAAGTTAGAATAGTTGGGGAATTTCAAACTTCATATGATAAGTCTAGGTAAGCCTATTATGGTCATTATAAGAGGTTATAAATTACATAGTTCTAGTTAGAGTTTTGACTTTTAAGTGTCCCTACATATCACTATAAATAAGAGAAAAAGGGCTGGAGGGATGATGATGGTGCAGGATAAGTGAAGAGATTTACATTTTTTGACACCAAACTTATTTAACTAAAATATTGAGAACTTTTACTTAATGATGTTGGATACATCTTTTCTGGTTAATCTAAACTAAGATGACCTATGGTGTTACAACCACTACATGAGTTCTTAGAGAATGGCTACATAGTTTGTTGGCATAAAAAAAGGGAGAAGGAAAAAGAAAAAGGCTACATTGCTTAAAACATCATAACCATAGATGAAATGTAAACTCCCATAATCCTTAGCACTGCTAATTGTCATCTTTTCTCAATTTTGAAAAGCACAAGTGAAATAAGTGAGACAATATATATATTATTAGACAATTTGCTGATAGATTATAATTTACGTGTCAATTTAGTTACCAATGAGACATTTTCAAGAATGAATGATTAAGATAACTTTCCACAGTTATCAACTTTTGATATGATTTCTTAGAGCTTGAAACAAAATACTTGTGAGATAAAATGCATTACTGATCATATAATTTACAGGACTGGAGCCTGCTGAAGGGTATATTTCCAGCTAGGCTTGCACAGTGACCAAGCTTGATTGGGTTGAAGCTAAACCTAAGGCCTGGTCTGAAAGTACTTTTGGCAAGATTTTGTTGTTTGAGGTTTGGTCTAACCTGATGCAAAGCCGGTGGTGGACCATACTGGGCTTAGTCTCCTAGGTTGGTGGACCATTTGGTTAGAAGAGTTAGCCCAGAACTTGGTCTGACCTGGGTGACAAACTTGGGCTGTTCTAGTCTATTTTGTGCTGGGTTTGCATTTTCTGGGCTAAGACTAGATTGGGTTCCCTCATGTCCTTCCTATTTCCAACACTCTTAGCTTGTTACTTGGTTCTTAATCCATTTATGATGAAGGCCTATTTGAATAAACCTATACACTTCCTCTTTCAGGTCACCATTAAGAAATGTTCTTTTAATATCCAATTGAGGTAGAGACCAATCTAAGTTTGCTTCCATTGAGAAAATAATTTTTACAATATTGAGTTTAGCAGCAAATGTAGATGTTTTTGATCGTCAATGTCATGGGTTTGGGTGAACCTTTTGACAATAAACTTGGCTTTATATATGCTTATGCTCTCATGAAGCTGTACTTAATTTTTAGAGGACTCACATGCCATTGTAGTCTTTTCACTAGGCAGGTCAACTATCTTCTCATGGGCCTAACGAAGCCCATTATCAAAAAAAATGTAACAAACTTGGCAAAAGGGATATAGGGCCAAAGGGAAGAGAGAGGAAGGCTTGGTTGTGAGTGGAGTGCCCTAGTCACACGAATGCTAGAGACTGGTTATGTGTGTCCCTTTGCTCTACGATTTCATGCATTTGTAGCTTGATAATTCCCCTTGGTTATCTCTTCTATTTTAGACAATGTATAGATGGATATAATCCAGCTTGTGCTTTATAAATAAAACTGAATTTCATGTGCCTGTTGCTTGATTATTCCCCTGGTTGGTTATTCTTCTATTTTAGACAGTGTATAGATGAATGTAATCCAGCTTCTGCTTTATAAATAAAACTGAATTACTGTTTAGCTCCATCATCTTCCTTGTTTGATTCTTCACTAAGGCATTCAATTCTTCTTGAATAGCATCTCTCCATTTTGGATCTGTAATTGCCTATTGAAAATTTTCTGTTAGCTTTGTATCAAATATACTAGCCACAAGAACTCTTCAGTATTCAGTTTAGAGACAACTTCTCATAAGAAATAAATTTACTTTTGGGATGTAGAGTACATGACTTTGCCCCCTTCCTTAAAGCAATGGTCCAGCTTACATCTTCAGAATTTGGAGTGGGGATAGACTTTTGGTTTAAGACACAATGTTTTGGATTAAAGCTCCCAGAAGCTGATTCCCTTCTATTATTTTTGAACAAAGCAGTTCAATATTTACATTGAAAGGGTAGCAATGTGTTTGCTGCCTTGGAAAAACTCATGGTTTCTTTTAGTGTGTCTTTTCGTTAGATACTCAGAGGTAATTGGAAACTTTGTTTTCTATTTTCTTTTCTTTTCTGTTCCTGTTTTTTTTTTTTTTTCCAAGGAGGATACTTCATCCTCCTCTTCATTAGATCTGTGGGGGGGAGGGGGCAACTATGTTGCATGAATGAGTTTATAGTTTCTTTTCTGTCCTTTGGAGGGCACTCCGTCTTCCTCTTTTGTAAATTTCTATTTTTTAATTTTTTCCCCACAAAATGTGTGTAGGAAATTATCAGGGTTCTTTTTCTATTGGTGCTCAATTATTAAATCCACTTGTTTAGTTGCTTAATTGTTTGGAACTCTATCAAAAGAATTATGTCACTTAAAACCTTAGAAATTGATATTTATTCCATTAGTGAAGACCCAGATCAGTTACCAATTTCCAGTTCTTTTAGATTAAGGATTTTGTAAGTTATTCCTGCGAGAATGAGATTTATTGAGCCATTTCACTCGTACTATTGTTTTCCTGAATGCTCTCCCCTATAATTATGCCTGTTGCACAATGCTGCTTCCTCTTTGGGTGAAAATTAACAGCCAAAATTAGAATCATCATATGAATTTTTTCTAGCTAATCTCTTATTCTTTCAGTGTGACATTTAATGTGCCATAGCTTTGCATTTTGGAAATTCTTCACTTGTATTCTCACTTCTTCTCTCCTAGTACTGTTGCAGAACTGTAAAAAATTGTTGAAAACTCAAATTCCATTTTATTTAGTCGAATATTTAAATGCTGCATCATTTTGGTATTGATTTGCAGTTTGCTAGCCTTATTTTTTGTACTTGACTGCGTAACAAAGTTTGAAGCTTAGAGTACTCAGGCAAGATTTGAACTTATGTTCAATTTGCAATTTGCAGCTGCTCGCAAGATTGACCAAGGAAATAATTGAAACATACCAAATATGCAATCCGGAGTTCAAGTATTCTGAAGAGCTAAATCCAAAAAGATATTTGACCAGCCCGTCAGTTGGAGTGCTTAATGATGGCTTTGATAATGTTAACTCAGATCTTATATTGACAGTGAACTTTGTCTTGGTCAATTTTGAGAGAAATAGAAGGTTTGTCATTCACTCAGGCCTTATTCTGACAATGAACAATGGTTATATGGATCTTATATGGCAACTCTGATAAGGACTGAGTGACCAAAATAAAATCCTCTTCATGAACATCCTTATTTAAATTCCCAAACATAAATTTTATGGTTTCACTTGCTACTGCAAGTGTCAAACTAAATTCCTATCTAAAATTGAGTCCTAAACATCATCAGGCCTATAAATTTGATTTAGGGTCTGCGTTTTGCCTTTGTTTTGCTTTCCTTTTGGCAGAGTTGCCGTGTATGCTTTTCATATCCTAATCTGTCTTCGTTTTTTCTCTTATGCTGTGCACATAATAATTTCAAAGGATAAATACAATTCTGCTAGTGAAAGTTTATGCTGTGTTTGCTATTTTTTACTGTTATGATTCATAATGATATAAAAAATTCATGTAATTCAGTTATCGGATCCCCTCATTCATCTGTATAATGGTTCTTTCTTATTAATCCCATTTATATCCGCATATGAACAATTGAGGAATTACATTAGGTAGTGAGGCACTAACAACCACTAGCAGATTTCTTAAATCTTGGTGTTAAGTAACTACTACATTCCATGTTGCATTCGATACCCCCCTTAAAGTAATTGTTGGTCTCAAGGGTTGAACATCAACCTCTATTTATTGTAATACTGTAACCTTGCAAAGACATTTATACCCTTACTTTCAGGTGCGTTATAGGTAACTATTTTCTCCCCCTGTAAGACTTCACTGAACTCAGAACTTTTTCCAAAAGGATCAATCTATCATGAATTTCCTAAATTCTTTATGTCTCTTAACGATATCAGATTACTGGCATATGCTCTGGAAAAGTTTTCTTCTGGTTATTCTTGGGAACTTTGATTAATAATAAAAAATTGTAGGACTTTACACTTTGATATTTCTTTTGTATTGTTTTTTTCAGGAGGGCATATTATTTAACACATTGTATTGCTTTCTCATTTTTTTTTAATCCTAGACATTGCTTCTTTTTCTCTATAAATTCCTTCAAATATCAAAAGGAACATTTAAGGGTTTTGAATTAATAGCAAATGTTTTCCCTTGCCTTCACCTGACAGACAGACGCTGGGATGCGTTTGAAAATTTTCTTTCCATTATTTTGCAGATATCTTGTCAAAGATGTCCTTGGCCATGGGACATTTGGACAAGTGGCTAAGTGTTGGGTTTCAGATACCAGCAGCTATGTTGCTGTGAAGATCATCAAAAATCAACCTGCATACTATCAACAGGCATTGGTTGAAGTATCTATTTTGAATACGGTAGTCTTTGGTTCTTGTTCCTATGAAACTGAACTAATCATGCTATTGTTAGTACAACTTAGAGGAGTTAGTCTGGTAAGTTAATGTGCTCTTTTCTTCATGCAGTTAAACAAGAAGTATGATCCTGAGGATAAGCATCACATTGTTCGTATATATGATTACTTTTTATATCAACGGCATTTGTGTATATGCTTCGAACTTTTGGACACAAACTTGTAAGTTATCGATTTTATGGTTTCTTTTGTTCTTCCATTTGTTGGTGATGCAATGAAATTTGCTCATCTTACCTGAACTATTAAGATTGCTAGATTGTTGTGTTAGATTTGCTTATTTGCATTCTTTTGCATATGTCAGTGTTGATATTCTGTTCCCACACAGGTATGAGCTTATCAAGTTGAACAATTTTAGGGGGTTATCTTTGAGTATTGTTCAGTTGTTCTCTAAGCAGGTATGCTAGTCTTTTCTATAAATTTTCTGCACGGTCCTTAATTTGTTTTGATATTCTACTAGGATTATTTTCTTAATTTTATGTTGCTTTTAGATATTACATGGATTAGCTCTATTAAAAGATGCTGGCATCATTCACTGTGATCTGAAGCCAGAAAACATTCTTCTATGTACAAGGTTGGTTTCTTACTATATAGTCCTATAGACAACTACATTGTGGAATTTGAGAGAAAGGACTATTTCTCATTGATAATAATTCTAAGGTACATTGACTTTGTAGACAGGAGGGGAAATAAATACTAATAAAGTCCTATAAAGTCTAATAAATATTAATAAGGGGAAATTGCATACAGGCATCGCTGAAAAAAGTTATTTGCAGATAAGGACCAATAACAAGTCACTATTTGGGAAAAAATAAGCCCCTATTTCCATCATTTTAGCAACAAACGGTTCCGTGTTGGTCCTTATTTGTGAATAACTTTTTTTTTTTTAAATATCCTTGTATGTGATTTTCCCTACTAAAATAAAGGCTATACAATATTTACAATAAATATCAGATGTTCCCTCACTCCCACTCAAATTGGATCATAAATGCTAATCATGTCCAGGTTACCCTTTAGTCAAAATATCAGCTTCTTGCAACTTTGTAGAAAAATATGTCAAACATGGAATTCCTTCCACTTTTTCATTGATGAAGTGTCATTCTATCTCTACGTGTTTGGACTTTTCATGTTGTATCAGATTTAAGGCCATGCTTATGGTGGCCTTATTATCATAATGGAGTTTCAATGGTGAGCTTGCTCTAACCTATATTTTATTCAAGACTCGTTTGATCCACAACTCCTCTATTATTCCTTGAGCTAAAGATCTCAATTCAGATTCAACATTGCTTCTTGAAAGAACTCTTTGCTTCTAGCTTCTCCGTGTAATTAAATTTCCTCACACAAATGAACAATAGCCAGAGGTTGACCTTTAATCTTTATAGGTTCCACCGTAATTTGCATTGGTGTAAACTTTTATGGATCTTTGCTCACGTTCCTGAAGAACAAACCTCTACGAAGAGTACCTTTTAGATATTTCAAAATCCCTTAGATTGCCTCCCTTAGATATCTCAAAATCCTTTTAGATCTCTCTATGGATCTTCATTGGGCAGCTTATATATTGACTGGCTACACGGATAGCGAATGTTATATTTGGCCTTATATGAGAAAGATATAAAAGCTTTCCAGCAAGCTTCTGATATCTTTCCTTGTCAGTTGCTTCTACCTTTCCAACAAGCTCTTTGCATCTCCGCCTATTTGCTTGTGTTCCTCAGTTTGTGGCATAAGAGAAGATGTTGGTGATGATAAAGTAGATGAAGGAATGTTTCTGGTAGTGGTGGTAGTAATGGCTTAGTTGGTGTAATCCATGGCTTAAGAAACACTTGTTCTCTATTAGGTTCTTGTTTTCAAGTCTGAGATTCATCTATACTCTCCCCCTGAATTGAAGGATTGGGATAAAGAGGAGTAACTTCATGAAAGGTGACATTAGGGTTGACAATGTGTTTTGAAACAGGTCAAAGCATCTATATCCTTTTTGAGTAGCAAAATAGTCAAGAAATATGCATTTGATAGCTTGAAGTTCAAGTTTATTGCTTTGGTGGTTATGGACAAGGGTGGTGTGCCCAAACACCTGAAGCGCAAGATTGGTTTTAATATGAGATGTGGAAAAAACACTTTGCAATTTCTGGAGAGGGGTTTCAAAAGATAAGATTCGACTGGGCATGTGGTTGATTAGGTAGGTTGTGGTCAAAATAGCATCCCCCCAATAAAACTTGGGCATATTGCAATTAAACATGAGTGTTTTAGCATCATCAAGTATATGCTGATGTTTTCTTTTTGCAACCCCATTTTGTTGGGGTGTGTAGGAACATGAATTGGCATGGACAATACTATGCATTTGGAGGAAGGTACTCAAAATATTGGTTAAAATATTCAGCTCCATTGTTGATGTGTAAGACTTGGATGGTGGTATTGAGCTGGGTTTTAAAAACGGTGAAGAAATTCATGAATGTAGATGCAACCTCATTGTTTTTTAAAAAATAAAGCCAACAAACATAAGCGTGATCATCAATGAAGGAAATGGACCCATACTATTTTAGTACAATTGAGAGTAAGAGATGGCCCTCACAAGTCACTATGAATGGCTGTGAACGGTTTGGTAGGTAAGTATTTGGCTTTAGGAAATGAAGTTCTATGGTGTTTGGCAAGTTTACATACTTCATAGTGGATTTCATTAACATTTAGGTTTGACATGAGGTTGGGAACAATCGTTGAAGGTAATGAAAATTAGAATAATCCATCCTCTTATTCCACAATATAAAATCATTAACTTTAGAGGTAGATGTAGAATTACTGACAATTGGTGAGTTACTCGCTTGAGTAGTGACTTTAAGATCGTAAAGGTCCTTATACTTCTAAGCACTTTCGATTATCCCTTTAGATGATAGCTCCTGAAACACTCAATGTGATGGGAGGAATTTAGCATGACAATTTGATTGCTTAGTCAATTGACTTATGGAAAGTAAATTACAATTGAGTTTGGGCACATGGAGTACAAATTCCAACACTACAATTTGAGATTCAAATACTTCCTTTTCTCGCTACTAGTGTTGAGGAGCCGTCTATAATCTTTACTTCAACATTCTTAACACACGGGGTGTAAGTGATAAGCAACTTTTTGGCAGTTAGTCATATGGTTGGGGGCTCAAAAGTCCACAATCCAAATTATTTTATTTCGTGATGTTGTTAAAGCTTGAAGGAAAGCCCCCCCCTTCGCCACCATTGCTATATGTGTAGAACTGGACATGGTAGATCTGATACTGGAGAGAACCCATAAGAGCACTCCTATCACTTCAAATGGGAATGCACTCTCATGACATGAATGGTACAAAAGCTATTACCTCAAAAATATAAAACCATAGCACAAAACAGAGTGTGCATGATTGAGAAGATGCGAAAGGAGCGTGCCCAAATGTCAGAGTGGATGGTATTTGAATGGAAATGTTGCATCATTGTCAAAAAACCTAGATGCCATTGGACTTGTGCGAACATGTGTCTACATACATTGTGCAAATGTCATTGGCACAGATTGTTGTGGTGGCTCTTGTATCTCACACATGTTGCCATTGGTTGTCATTTTTGGTGGCTGGCCCATCGGCACCTCTTGATCACCTTGAGGCTTGTGGTAAGAGTCCAAACATGCTCCACCAAGGTCCACATGAAAACCCTCAAGTGCTGTATGGAGGCCCTCTGCGATCCATCCCTGAAAATAAACCTTAATTTTTATTTCGAGCCTAATGCTCTGATACCTTGTGGAATTTGAGAGAAGAGAATATTTCTCATTGATAATAATTTTGAGGTACATTGACTATATATACATGAGGGGAAGTAAATACTAATAAAGTCTAATAAAACCTAATAAATACTAATAAGGCTTTACAATATTTACAATAAATATCAGATATTCCCACATATATGCTGCAACCTTTTTGTGTTGAATTTTAATAATTTGAATCCATGTTTGGGTCACAGTGTGAAGCCAGCAGAAGTCAAGATTATTGACTTTGGATCGGCATGCATGGAAGACCGTACTGTCTACTCCTATATTCAGGTTTACTTTTTCTGTCAGTGTTGGTTTGTATGACCTTTTTTAATTGTACTGATTAAATTCTTCCTTTCTACTGCAGAGTCGATATTATAGGTCTCCTGAGGTTCTTCTTGGATATCAGTATCCTGTCAAATGAAATTGCTGATTTATACTATGATTTTAGAACTGCTCTCTCTCTCTCTCTCTCTCTCTAGGAGGAGGTGGTCCTTATTTTGCTTCATGTGGTGTTTTTTTTTTTTGCTGTTTTCCTTTTCTTCAACTATTTTATTGAACTTTAAGCTCTGGGTTTTTCTAAGGGATCGCAACTTCTTTTAGCCAATTCTAAGGTTTATGATTTAGCCCTTGGCTGTGCACTATAGATTTATCTTGTTAATAGCCTAAAACAAGTTGAGATTTGAAAAGTCAGTAATTTTGTCGGAAGATCATTTAAGTGAAGTAGTGGGAATTAGAGTAATTTCGTGTTCCAAAGATTATTTGGATGATACTTTTTCCCCTTGAATCAATTTTAATGCTCATGCCCTTTTTTATATCATGGGATAGAGAACTTGTTGCAACTTTAGTTTTTGTTTTCATTCATATGTTTTTCATTGACTTTTACTTGGTCCTTAACCATTATAAGATACACAACAGCTATTGATATGTGGTCCTTTGGGTGCATAGTGGCTGAATTGTTTCTTGGATTACCATTATTTCCTGGTGCTTCTGAATTTGATCTTTTGAGGAGGATGATTGAAATTCTTGGGTATGCATTTTTCCCTCAAGTATTGTATTTCTAGTATGTGGCAGTCCAATTTAAAGGTCTCTTAAATGCATTTGATTAGTTACAAACTGTTATTTGGTTGCTTGAAGTAAAATGAGGTGGTCTTAGTTGAAAAATGGTGATTGCTGTTAGTCATCTTGCACGTTGAGAAAATAAAAGGAAAAAAATAATTGGATATAAACAGAATGGGTGAATTGAATTTCTAAAAGCTTGACAGCAACTGCAATTGATTTTTAATTTTTAGTTAATTTTCCTCATATAATGTGATGGGTACCTAACCTTGCCCCAAATTTGGGTTGGGGTAGGGTTACTTATCCTACTCAGGTAGCCATCAATTGATATTTGGTACCAGAACTAGGTTGTTGGTGGTTCTAGAGAGGGCTACACGTGGATGGTTCTGGTTGGTAGGAGGCCAAGTTAAGTGCCATGGAATGCAGCCGTTAAGACATTAGCTTTAAATTAGGGCAATTGGTGTAGACTTGATATTATGGGATATTGAGTTCCACATTGAGTAGTATGAGATGTTCAATTGGATATTTAAGTGGGTTGGTTTTCTCACCTTAACAATTAGCTTTTGGGGTAGGGTTCCTTATCTCATTTAGGTACCCATCATAACGTTTATAACTTTTGGTCATCATTTTTTCCATTGGTTTCTTAGAAAAATTTGTGCCAAGAAGAAAGTTAAAAGTTAATCATTTTGCATGAACAAAAAGTAGCTATTGAGACGTGAAATTTAAGAATTGCCAAAATAAGAATTCGAAAGCTTGATATAATGTTTATAATTTAACACTCAATAATAGTATGTAAATTTGAGTTGTGTAATTTTGAAAATTCGTACATTGAAGGGAACTCTGTTAATCTATCCTTACAGTTGTAAAGTGGAATGATATTGGATGATATAAACCTAGGAATTACTAGAGGGGAAGAATTCAATGTTGGCAAAAGCAAATAATGACAAGAAATAATGTTGGACATGCCCTCACACATCAATGACAGCAATACTATGCAGAGAACTTTCGGTGGCATCATGTGGAGGAGTTTGGTGAGGGGACTTTAGGTTCCATTGTTTGGCATCCCTTGAGTGCGATGGTCCAATGCACGGCGAGGGTAGAGTTTTAGTGAGTGGTGTTCTTGGCAGCAGTGGCAACAATAGGAGGATTTTAGGGTTTAGGGGAGGGATGAGTTGGAGTGAGATGCAATCCTAACTTGGGACCTCTGGAGAGATGTCATCAAGGCTCTGAAATCTTACGAAATTTAATAAATAGCTTTTGTAATTGATTGAAGAATATTTCAAGAGGTTTAATTTTAGATACTAAAATTAATGCAAAGCTCAGTAAATGCTACTACTACCCACCAACTGCCAATTAAAACTTTCACATATGTTCAAATAAATTAAAAGAGAGGTAATATTCTGAATAATATAGGGGTCGGTTATTGGGTGTTATGAGAAAAGCCAAAAATACCTTTGTCTCCACATTGGGTCAAGAACAAGGTTAGAAGGGTCAAAAGCATGTAATTCATATAGAGCCTTTGAACTGCCCCAATAGCAACCAAAGCTATATGCGTTATGTGGATAGAAAGTAAATAGCTAATAGAACCCAAGATACGTAGATAGGTAGAGAGAAATAATGAAAGTAAATCTTTATTAAAATATGAAATTAGAATCTAATTTCACATAGCATTGATAGAAAAAAGAAGAGTAACTCTATTAAGATAATATAGAACAAGAATCTCGTCTACACTTCTCTTAATAGCCATGCTTAGGAGAATCTCTAGAGAGTAACTTTATTCATGATATGCTAGCTTTTGAATTGCTATGCATATTTATAAGGCTAAATACAATCTAAAATACTAAATAAAATCTAGTTAATTAAATAATAAAATAACAACTGAAGAAAATCTCCAAAAATCTATATCTGGATAAAATACTAAATAAAATCTAAATAACTAGATATTTGGATAAATATCTAAATATCTAAATAAAATCTCTTCTAAAATCTCTCAAAATAATATGAAATTCCAAATAACAATAATTAAATAAAACTTAATTCAACGGACACTTATCATTACCCCTCCCTTGAAAATGTAACTTGTCCTCAAGTTGGAAAGAGGGAAATTGAGCCTGTAGGAGGCTCTCTTTTCTCTACTATGCCTTCAATGATGGTGGAACAATCTGCTTGACTTCCTCTATAATTTCTAATAGTGAAAAGGATCCCTTGCAACAGTGTCTAGGTCTGAATGTCTCACCACATTGGAAACAAAGGCCTTTCTCTCTCCTCCTTTGATGCTTGGCATCTATAGGTGTGGGTTTAGTCAACGTTGAATTCAACAGGCTAGGAGCCAAAGAAAGCGTCATTGAACTTGGTGGTTCGTGGGGTATTTAGAGAGGTCATGTTTGAGGAGAATGCTGTTGCAGAGGGATTTTGGTCATGAGCTTGATAAGTTGCAGCAATAATGGGTTGATTTTGGTCGTAGGAAGAGTTGGGCTTGGGCGCACGCACATTTGACATACTCTCAAACTCTAGGGCTAGACTCATTGCGAGATATACAGATCTTGGCTTGTGTATGTGGACATCTACTTACAACTCTTCCTGTAGGTCATTAAGGAAAATGCCAAGCAAGCAATGCTTTGGCCAATTCTTGACCCATGCTAATCTCTTGGCAAATTCCACCCAATACTCCTGCATTGACCCTATTTGTTTGATGTTACACAAGAATTTATCGGGGTTCTGGTATTTTTGGGGCCCAAAATTCTCTTGTAATGCAGTCATGAGTTCTTCCTAGCATACAAGAGTCTGTTCGTTGTTGACCCAGGCAAATAAATTGAGTGTGTCACCTTCCAGGGCCATTGATGCAATGTCCGCCTTGTGCTCTTTCGGTGTGTCATGATATCTAAAATATTCCTATGCTTTTAATATCCACCCTCGGGGCTCATGTCCGTTGAATTTAGGAAATTCAATTTTGGTGTGATTAAATCTGTGTTGTCTATGATTTTCTTGCTCATCTTCACATTCTTCTTCTTCATGATAGCGCTTGCAATGGTTCTCCCTTGTCTTCTTGCCTTTATTGAGTGCAGAAGCTTCAAGCACCTCTACCTTTTCTTTTAACAGATCAAGAGTTTCGAACCTTTGAAGTGATGGTGGCTAGATGATACGATGTGAGTGAGTGTTGATTTTTTGGATGGTTGTTGGATGAGTTGTTAGGAGGGTTGGTTTCTTGACTGGTACATGTGGTAACTTGGTTCTAATACCAAATGATAGGATCCAAAATACATAGAGAGAAATGGGGAAGATTAAAGTGTGAAATCAGAATCTAACTTCATATATTAATAAAAGAACATAAAACTGATAGAAGAAAATAACAAGAATAATTTTATTAAGATAATATAGAATAAGAATCTTGCTCTACATTTCTCTCAATGGCCACGTTTAGGGGAATCTCTAAAGGGTTCAAAAGTCTATTTTATTCATGATATGCTATCTTCTGAATTGCTAAATACAATCCAAAATACTAAATAAAATCTAGATAACTAGATAATTAAATAAGAACTGAATAAAATCTCCTATAATCTATATTTGGATAAGATATTGAATAAAATTTAAAGAACTAAATATTTAAATAAAATCTAAATAACTAGATATATGGATAAAAATCTAAATATCTAAATAAAATCTCTCAAAAAAAAAATTCAATATTCAAAATAACAATAATTAAATAAAACTTAATTCAACTGACTCTTATCAATAGATGTGATGTTGGGCAGTTTAATTAGATAATAATTGCTCTTATTTCTCTCCATTACTTTTAGTCAAGCTGAAACCCTCGCAAGATTGTATAGGATTCTCAAGTTTCACTGCCAACGATTACTGAGTCAACCAAATCCTTTAGTTTAAGTTTATTTCATAACAGGGAAAACAGAAGAGGGTAATTACTTTGTAAAAGCTACTTTAACTCATTCATCCATTGCATATGTCATTAAGATAGTTCTTCCTGCAATGGGTTGGTAGTGGGAAGTAGAATGGCCCATCTTTGATACCTTTCACTTCTTATAACTTTCTTGTCCTTCTTTTCAAATGGAAATGCAGGGTAGTTGTTAGAGTTTCAATATGAAAGTGACTTTTTTTTTTTTTTTTAATTTCTGTGTTCTTTGAAAGTTATTGGTTTTCCTTCCTTCGCTGTATCAAATGATACCATTTTTGTTGTGAAACTATTTCAGGGGACAACCGCCTGATTATGTACTGAGGGAGGCCAAAAACACTGGTAAATTTTTCAAGTGTATTGGGAATCTCCAGAATGGAGAGAACAGCGAGATTCCATCACATGGAAGAAGTTCTTATCAAGCATTGACTGAGGAAGAATATGAAGCTGTAAGTTATATATGTTATGTTTTTTCCCGTAGTGGATATTATGGTGCCTCTCCTACTAGTATGGTGTTAAAATACTTGCGAGCTTTTGGAATCCTTTTACATTGTTACATTTTTAATTTTTCATATTTTTGGTTTCTGTTCAGAGAGAATTGAAGAAGCCATCAATTGGGAAAGAGTATTTCAATCATATGAATCTTGAAGAAATTGTTACCCACTATCCCTATAGGAAAAACTTGCCGGAGGAAGATATTCTTAGAGGTTAGGTTTTATATTTCTTCATTAAAGCTAGGAACAGCTGAAGATTCTGTTGAACATGATATTCCTGTAATATTGTATGGATCTTTGTGTTTCTGTTGCTAGATTGAGGCCACTAATGAATATTGCATTTACTAAACTCATTACAGAGAGTCAAATACGATTGGCATTAATTGATTTTTTGAGAGGGCTAGTTGAATTTGATCCTGCAAAGCGCTGGTCACCCTTCCAGGTAATTTGCTTTGTACTGTTTTTAGTGTTAAAACTAAATTTCTGCTTGTGTTTGTGTAAATTTTATGCCCTCGTTAGTTGTATTGTTTAATTTTTGTGCCTGTACTTTTATCTCTGCTAAAATGTTTTTCATTGGGGGAAAAAAACTTCCTGTAGGCTTCAAGGCACCCTTTTGTGACAGGGGAACCTTTTACCCATCCTTATGAGCCTCCTCCAGAAACCCCTCGTGTGGTAAGAAAAATCTGTAGTTTTTAAATACTTGTATTCATGCATTTGGCTTGTACATATTTTGGTTGGTTATATTAAAATGGAGTGAACTCTGGATCTTTCCTCACATCCTAGGTCCACCCTACCATTGTCACCTGAGTTGATTTCATGTGTTCCATACTTTTAATTCAAAACTGTAAATGATCTCGTAAGTTGTTTTTATGAATCAATCACTGCTTGTGCAAAATCATTTGGGTAATCCAGTTTTGAGTGTTTGATGAATGATTTGGATGACAATTATTAGTAGGGTTTGAAACAATTATGCACATTAACCAGGAACACATTAGAGGCAGGGGATGAAACTGTGATTCTGATTGCCAAGGGCGAGTTTGTAACTAAAAAGATTTGTGATAGGATCCAAAATAGATAGAGGAAAAGAATGAAGGGAAGTCTTTAATGAAATATAAATCAAAATATAACTTCATAAATTGATAAAGATGAAGGAAAATCTCTATTTGAATATGAACAAAGATCTTAAACTTGTACAATAATAAAGCCTAAGGAGAATCTCCCAAAATTACAATGAATCTCGAAATCTACCTGCTATTAGCTACTGTTGTGTTTTGATAGAGTATCGATTATTATTAGGAATAAATATTATTTTTAAGTTATTTTAGATATTTTCTATTGAATAATATTATTTAGATTAATTTTCTGTTTGCTGAGTAGCCCTCAAGTTTATGAGCAGTGGATATACTTGCTGATTAAGCGAGTAATTTTATTTTTTGTATTTATTATTTAGATAGTTATTCCCCATTATCTGAGTTATGGATTAATGGGAGTATTTTTAGAAGTCATAGTTATTTTTCTCCATAAATATTTAGCTTCATAGCTTGTAGAAAGGATCTAGAATTAAAATCATTACTTATTTACATTATTGGAGATTCTCCTGGGCTTTTAGTTGTATGAGTTTAAGAACATTGCTCATCTTCTACCTAAAAATTTTACTTGATCTTTGTTAATTCATAAAGTTAGATTTTGATTTCATAATTTAATAAAAGATTTTTCTTCCTTGTTTCCCTCTACCCATCTTGGATCCTATAATTTTTATAATATAAAAATAGGTATTCAATAATAAATAAAATAGAAAATAACTGACTAAATCATTACCAACATTTACTTGATAATAAACAAATCCTAATTGAGATATTTATATATAATATCTCATTCTTATTCATGATAGAAAATAAATTAACTTGTAAAAATATGATAACAAACTGATCCACCGCTTCACCTGCTATCCCATATGTGATACTCTACCAATTTGTAACAAGTTAAAAAGATATTAACTGGAGGACCTTCAAGATTAAATAAATATTACAACAAACAACAACAAAAACAAGCCTTTATCCCACTAGGTGGGGTCGGCTACATGGATTGCAAGACGCCATTGTGCTCTATCATTTATTAAGCTTTTAGAAATATTATTAATTAGGAGATCACGTTCAACAACTTCCAAGAGTGTTCTCTTAGGCCTTCCTCTACCTCTCTTAATCGGACTCAAAGTTATATGTTCCACTCTTCTCACTGGTGCCTCCCTTGGTCTTCTTTGTACATGCCCAAACCATCTCAACCGATTTTCTACCATTTTTTCCTCAATAGGTGCCACCCTCACTTTTTCACGTATGTGCTCATTTCGAATTTTATCTTTACGTGTATGTCCGCACATCCATCGTAACATTCTCATCTCTGCTACTCCAACTTTATGCTCTTGCTGTCCCGTTAGAGCCCAGCATTCACTACTAAGATTAAATAAATATTGCATGGATAAAAATGGAATGGTATTGGATTGATGCAAGGGGGTGTTTAAGGTTCCTTTGATTGTGGCAGGTGCAAACTTGAAACTATATCTTGTTAGGATTCTTTCATATCTATTTTCTTAATCGTGCTTGGATCTCTATCCACATGATATCAATTGGGTATAAAGAGAACAACTCTGGAACTTTCTTTCTTTCCTTCCCTGTTTTTTTTTTTTAAAAGCCAACTGGATCTTGGAGTTAATGTTCACTTCCAGTATGATAACTATTACTTTATGTTGCAAAGTGACAAAAGTATGAGGATTTGATAATCACGAGGATTAACTCAGGTAAATGTTATTGGTTAAACCCACTGGGAAAAAAAGAAAAAGGAAGCCAGATGACTTGGAGAGACCTGATGTCTTACCTGAAAAATTTGCTTATTATTATTTTTTTTCAATTTTAATGTGCTTTTAGTCCGCCCTTCTATTTTATAGTAAATTTATAAACTGCAACTACTGCCGTCTCTTGTGATTCTCTGGGCATAACTGTATTCCAATTATTTATTCTGTCTAATTTATTTGGCTGTTGCTTTTCTCTCATTGCAGTGAGTTACTTAATAGATACATGGATTTCAATCTCTTTATGGTCTAATATGTATCTAATTTCTTTATGAACCTTAGGCGGTTGTTCAAGCTGTCAAAGTGGATCATCACCCTGGTGGAGGGCACTGGTTTGCTGCTGGTTTATCACCTAATGTGAGCCTGCTACTCTCTTAAACATGAAATGCCTTTCTATTGACTTTTTTGCTTTGTTTTTTTCTTAAACACCTAATGCATGCATGATGTTTTATTTTTGGTAGTTTTGTGGGAGTAGAGTAATTTTGTTATATATTTTGGTCTACTCCTCGTGTGCGCGTTAATACTGATGAAATATGTCTATTACAACTGTTATACTACTATATCACTTATTGCGATGCTACAAGTAACTAGCTGACACCAGACATTTAGTCTAGTAGCTATTCTAATGCGCGCATATGCATTTTGTTACATTTAGGCAGATCCCCTTTGCTTGAAGCATCGATGTTAACAAACTTAGTTTGTTACTAATGTAGTTGATTTTATTACAATGGGGAGCTTTAGTGAGGTGTGTTTGCCAGTTTCTTCCCAATTATTACGTGTGCAGTGGAAAGATACTCCTGTAGTGTTTTCTCATGAATAAAATGGCAGTTGGCACCAATGTGATTTTCTATTTGACAGAATTAATAATATTAGATTTGATAATCTCTTAATTAATAATATTTCTAAAAGCTTGATAAATGATAGAGCACAATGGCGTCTTGCAATCCATGTAGCCGATCCCACCTAGTGGGATAAAGGCTTGTTGTTGTTGTAGAATTTAATATTAAACAGAGTGTGAATATTTGTTGGATTGTCATGTTGATGGAGTCCCGCATTGGGTAGCCACAAGTAATTATTGTGGTACTTGAATGGTAAGATTCTTTCCCTTTACTAGCTGATTTTTAAGGGTGGTTTCTCTGAGCATAATTAGATCCGATCAATTAGGTGTCATTGACCCAATGGTCAGTGACATTGTAGTGCAGGCATTGAGAATGTTGACTCTTTAGAGGTAGTGTGTTATAGATTGGAAAGAGAGAAAGGGGGGAAAAAAGAAAGAAACAGGGGGATTAAGAGCAAATCTGAATATGCAATTCTGTGAGAATAATTACAGGAAAATTAGAGGGATACGTCCCATGAAAATAGAGATTTGATAGGATTGGGTCATTAGGAGTAATATTTGATTTTAATTCCTTTTGTTTTTTTATTTCCTTTTATAGAAGATTATGGTACGTGTATATAATCTGACCATATTACTGAATAAGATTTATTCGGTTCCTTCCTCTGGCTTGTCTTCGACCACATGGTATCAGAGCACGCAGACGCTGAACACCATCACTCAGACGAAGACGACAGAGCCGACCGAGAGTCAAACTCGCGCACTCGACCCTCTGCGTTCATGGGTTCCGGCACTGAGGCTGACTCAAAAATCACTCCAAATGGTGGAACTCCTCTCGGGTTGAGTTCTGCCGAGGGGGCGTCCCTTGTCTTGGTTTCCGAAAAGTTCAATGGAACCAATTATCGTGAGTGGGCCCAGAGTGTTCGACTGGCTGTTGGAGGCCGCGGGAAGCTGGGTCTTATCTCAGGTACATCCAAACCACTAGACGCGTCAGACTCGGCTGCCTTGGTGAAGAGGGAGACCGACAATTCCCTGGTGGCTTCTTGGTTGGTTAACTCTATGACCCCTCCAATCAGACGGTCCTTTATGTTTCTCCCGACAGCACGGGATATCTGGGACGCAGTCAAGGAGTCTTACTCGGGTGGGGAAGATGGTGCTCAAATCTATGATCTCAAAACTCGAAGTTGGCAGATCAAACAAGGTGAGCGTGATCTTACGGAATTCTGGTTGGAGTTAGTTTCAGTGTGGCAAGAGATTGATCTCAACATAGAAACCGAGTGGTCTTGTCCGAGTGATGCAGCACGGTATAAGAGGCTTATTGAAGATGAGCGAGTATTCCAATTTTTGGCTGGTCTTCATCAATCATTAGATGATGTTCGTAGTCGCATACTGGCTCGCTCTCCTCTACCATCTACTCGGGATGCATTTGCTGAGGTTCGTCGTGAGGCTTCTCGACGCAAGGTGATGTTACCTGGAATTTCATCAACCTTTCCTTCATCTGAGGTGTCTGCTTTAGTGAGCCGACAATCGGATCAAGGCCAAAAGGAATTAAGAGGAAAGGCTGTTTGTGAGCATTGCAAAAAGACAGGCCATTCAAAAGATAAATGTTGGGACCTCCATGGAAAACCACCTGATTGGAAACCACGTAAAGGTAAATCTCTTGGCTATCAAACTACTTCTGATTCTACTTCAGACAAATCTGGTTCTGCTCCAGACAAATCGGGTACCTTGCCTATCATCGACAAGGATCAGTTAAATAAGCTTCTAGAGATGCTCCATAGTTTACAATCCAACCAGTCACCTCCATCTCATAATGCTTCCGTTGCTAAGCAAGGTAATTCGCATTTTGCATTTAATGTATGTTCCACTAAATCAAAGTGGATTGTTGACTCCGGAGCCTCAGATCACATGACTGCAGACTCTACCTTGTTTACCTCATACTTTCCTTGTAGTGGCCATGAGAAGATTGACACAGCAAATGGTACATCCCTCATTGCAGGCAGGAAAGGGTAGTATCATTGTTTCTAAATTTCTGCACCTTGACTCTGTCCTTCATGTTCCCTATCTTGCGTGCAATTTACTATCTATTAGCAAGTTAACTAAACAAGTCAAATGTAGTGCTCACCTTCTTCTCTACTCACTGTATTTTCCAGGATCTCTCATCGGGGAGGATGATTGGCAGTGCTGAGGAGTGTGATGGGCTCTCCTACCTTGATGAATCAACCGTGAGTAATCTATGGTCGCGAATCTACTGCAACCTTGTGACTACTTCTGAACAAGCTGATCTTTTGTTATGGCATAAAAGAATGGGTCATCCCAATGTCCAATATTTGAGTCATTTGTTTCCCAATTTTTCATCTAATAAAATTTCTAATTTTCATTGCGATATTTGTGAATTAGCCAAACATCATCGCTCTTCTTTTCCACAGTCTAAATATAAGCCTTCTAAGCCTTTCTCTCTTATCCATAGTGATGTTTGGGGTCCATCTCGTGTCTCTAATCGAACTAGAGCCAATGGTTCGCTACCTTTATTGATGACCATACCCGTGTGTGTTGGGTATATTTAATGAAAGATAAATCTGAGGTAGCTTCTATTTTTATCGAATTCTATATCATGGTTCTTAATCAGTTTAACACGTCCATCAAAATTCTCCAAACAGATAATGGCACTGAATATGTCAACAAGTCTCTAAGTGACTTCCTTAAGGCTTGGGGCATTATCTATAAGACCTCCTGTACAAATACACCCCAACAAAATGGGGTAGCCGAACGCAAAAATAGAACACCTGTTGGATGTTGCCCGTGCCCTTATGTTTACCACAAATGTGCCAACATATTTCTGGGGAGATGCCATTCTTACCGCCACCTATCTCATTAACCACATGCCCACAAAAAACTCTATCCTACACCACACTCCTCGAGTGTCTCCGGTAGACCCACTCTCTCACCCATCTTGAAACCGTTCTTCCATTAAAGTTATTTGGGTGTTCTGCGTTTGTGCATCTCCATTCCTCTTCCAAGCTTGACCCACAAGCTGTCAAGTGTGTTTCTTGGTTACTCCTCACACCAAAAGGGATATAAATGCTTCGATCCATCCTCTAAACGCCTACTTATCAGTCATGATGTTACTTTTTCTGAATTTGAACCTTTCTATTCATCACCTTCAATTCAGGGGGAGAGTTGGAGTGAATTTCAGGAATATTCTCCCATTGAACCTATTGATTCTCTTGACTCTCTTGATCATCCCACTTTGCTTGAGCCTGTCTCTTTTATTCCAGAATCAAAAGAAAATGCAAGTTCAGGGGGAGATAAGAACACAGGTGCTGAAGGTAAAGAGATCAAAGTTTACACGCGGAAGAAGAAGCATGGTACAAAAGCTCTCATACCTGAAGCAGTACCGGAATCAGAACCGATGACAGATCCTATGGGAGATAGTCCTAAAGAAGATGAGAATGATAATCCTGATGAGGAAGAAGGTTCAGAAAGTTCAGAAGATGACTTGGAGGTGCCTATTGCTCTCAGGAAGAAGCCAAGATCATGTACACAACATCCTATTCAGACGTTCCTATCTTATAAAGCCTTATCCCCAGGATATCGGGTTTTTATTGCGAATGTGGATGGTGTTTGTGTCCCTACGGACATTCATGAGGCCCTGAAAACGTCTGGATGGAGAGAAGCTGTCTTGGAAGAAATGAAAGCCTTGGAAGAAAATGAGACTTGGGAGGTTGTGCAGAAACCAGAAACCAAGAAACAAGAAGCTGGTTAGTTGCAAGTGGGTATTTACCCCTAAATATAAGGCTGATGGAAATCTTGATAAATTGAAGGCTAGACTGGTGGCAAGAGGGTTTACACAGACCTATGGCATTGACTACTACTAGGAAACATTCGCACCAGTGGCAAAATTGAACACCATCAGAGTATTGTTATCTGTAGCAGCCACTCTTGAATGGCCGTTACACCAACTAGACGTCAAAAATGCCTTCCTAAATGGAGAATTGAAAGAAGAAGTTTATATGACTCTACCTCCTGGCTTTGATAAAGGAAGGGAGAATTAGGTATGTAAATTGAAAGAAGAAATCATTATATGGGTTGAAACAGTCTCCAAGAGCATGGTTTGATAGATTCTCAAAAGTTCTAAAGCTACAAGGCTACAATCAAGGACTATCGGATCATACTATGTTCGTTAAAGTAGAAGGGGGCAAGAGGTGTGTCCTATTGTATACGTTGATGATATAATCATCACTGGTGATCATAATGAAGAGGAAAGCGGCAAGGCAAGAATAAAGGGTTCTTGGAAAAGAATTCAATATCAAGGACTTGGGTTGTCTGAAATACTTCTTGGGAATGGAGTTTGCAAGATCAAAGCAAGGTATTTATGTGTCTCAAAGGAAGTATGTACTTGATCTCTTAAAGGAGACGGGTATGCTGGGGTGTAAACCTGTTGAAACCCCTATTGTTGTTCCAAAGAAGAGGCAAAAATCCAAGAAAGAAGAGGGCAATCTAGATGAAGAGGGTAAAGAAGATAAGAAGAAGATAAAGAGAAAGAGAGGCCAATGGATAAAGAGAGATACCAAAGGCTTGTTGGGAAACTTATTTATCTATCTCACACACGACCTGACATAGCATTGCTATGAGTGTTGCTAGTTAGTATATGTGTGAACCGAAGGAAAAACATATGGAAGCTGCATACAGAATCCTAAGATACCTAAAGGGAAATCCTGGGTGAGGTTTACTGTTTCAAAACATGAACAAAGGAACATAGAGGTGTATACAGATGCAGATTGGGGTGGACATCACCAAGACAGGAGATCTACTTCTGGGTATTGCTCATTTGTATGGGGAAATCTGGTTTCTTGGAAGAGTCAAAAGCAGAGAGTTGTATCCAAAAGCAGTGCTGAATCTGAGTTGAGAGCTCTTGCTCAAGGCATAATGGAAGAGTTATGGCTAAAAAGGGTTCTGAAAGAAATACATGTCCAACTTGATCTGCCTCTCAAACTATATTGTGATAATAAGGCTGCCATAAGTATGGCATTGAATCCTATCCAACATGAGAGGTCCAAGCATGTGGAGATAGACAGGCACTTTATTAGAGAAAAGGTGGAAGATGGAATTGTATGCCTAGCCTTCCTAGCGACAAATCTCCCAGCAGCAGATGTGTTGACAAAGGGGTTACACAAACCTGCTTTTGATAATTGTATAAGCAAGTTGGACATGATTAGCATCTATGATCCAAATTGAGGGGGGTGTGAGAATAATTACAGGAAAATTAGAGGGATACGTCCCAAAAAAATAGAGATTTGATAGGATTGGGTCATTAGGAGTAATATTTGATTTTATTTCCTTTTGTTTTTTATTTCCTTTTATAGAAGATTATGGTACGTGTATATAATCTGACCATATTACTGAATAAGATTCATTCGGTTCCTTCCTCTAGCTTGTCTTCGACCACATTCTTATAATAAATCAAAGTCGGAAACTTAGGTACACTGCTAAATGTATCTAGATCCTACATACAATGATAAAATAATTAAATATCAAATCCTATATTAATCTTTAAGTCTTGTTAAATATTTTAATTCATAATTGTATCTAAATCTATTTAGATCCTAACTAATTCTTAATTCTTTTTTTATTTATAACAATTACAAATCAATACCCCTTCTCCCAAAAGACCCTTTCCCTCAAGGGTCAAGTGCACTGAAAATTGTACCAAACCTCTCTAGAGCATCTTAATTAAATTCCCTTTAAACCCAAGTTAGAACAAGAACGGACACTGGCAACAAGGAAGAAATAGAGATATGTGTTCTCATTGGTGAAATAGAAGCTAACTGTGACTGAGAGTGAAGAACAAACATTGATAGAGAACTTAAAGTAGATAATGGACTGCTACCAATTGTTACCAAAAGAATACTAGCCGAAAGAATCTTGGGACCATGATTGAGGAACCTGCATTGACATAACTGTTAACTACCTGGAGTTCTTGGCCCTCGACAATGTTCTCACATTCTTCTTGGGTACTGGACAAGATCCATCATTGATTGGGGAAAGCTTCTTTGCACTCTGCCTCATTCACAACCTCCCATTTCTCAAACTGTTTTCAAATGTTGATGAGGAACATTGTACTAAAAAAGCTTTAGGTCTCAAAGGCTCCTGGATCTATTGTTAACGGCAAAATTGCCTTTTAATCCTTACAGTAATTACATAACATGGTGTTATGATGGAGTCCCATATTGGGTAGCCACAAGTAGTTCTTTTGGTATCTAATAAAATGATTTTTTCCCTTTACAAACCAACTTTCAAGGGTGGTTCTCCATAGTTGTTTAGGTTTTGATCCCATGCCTTAGAGTCATAGCACTATCATACTAAATTAGGACAAATGGCATGTTTGGTTACCCAACACAACAATTCGAAAGTACATTTGCAATGTCCATTCCATAAAGTTACCTTTCCAAGTTTCTTTCTGGTTTTTTTGCTTTTCAATTGATTTTTTTTTTAATATCCTAACATATATGGAAGTTGTTGACCGAGACTTTTAGTTAATAATATTCCTAAAAGCTTGGTAAATGATAGAGCACAATGGCATTATACAATTCATGTAGCCAACCTTATCTTGTGAGATAAGGCTTGTTGTTGTTGTTGTAACATATGATATAAGCTGCGCTGAAATAACTGACCAGAATAGAAAAATGTACTACAACAGTAAATGAGGGGAAAATACTGAGGTTTTACTATTAAATGTCAAAAGGAACCGAACCGGTGTTACATTGGACTCTCACTTATTTTTGCTAAAGCCCTATACTCCAATATATTTGGCACAACAAGTAACTTCAACTAAGTACCCAAAATACAGAAACAGAACAAACACACAGTGCTGGCATTCGAGAGGCTAATCTCTCCTCACCACATTTAGTTTTCCAAATACATCATATGAGCTCCCCTTAAATGCAAAAGGCTTCTAAAAACCCAAAATGTCTCACACCCCACTTCCAACAAAAGCTATTCCCCTGGGCAGCCCCTAAAACATCATTAGTCTAGCTTTTACTTTTCCTTACTACTAGAATCTGTCTGATAAACATCAGAACCAGAAGTTTTGCTTGTTTTCCTTCTTGGCCTTCCTTGATTCCCTCTACATGTTTTAAAGAATTTTCTAGCTCTATCAATATCCGAACAAGTTTAAGTGAAAGTAAGTTCGTTAAAAGTACTTTGACTTTTTGAAAGTCATAAATAAACACACCCTTGATAGATGAAAATTTGTATCCTCACCTTTTTCAATTAGTAACATCACATGTGTAGACTGATCTGATTTTAAAGACATTGATTCAAGCAGCAGCAGTTCAAGGGCGTAATAGGAACTATTATCTATTCATCTTCCTGAAAAACCAATCTATTTTAGCTGAACTCCCCATTTTGAGGATCAATAATCCTGGATTTTCTTCTGCAATTTCTTTTGCCTAGCTTCCTTGGAATTTGCATTGTGCAATTGTTCATCTATGATTGTTAGTTCCCTGAATAATGTTGTTTTTTAAAAGTATTTTCTTGGTAAATTATCTTACGTTCTTGCAGGTTCCTAGCAAAAGTAGGCCTTCACTATATAGCAGCTTGCATTTCCAGATGGTGCAATATCCACCTGCTAACAGCTACGGCAGTTGTGGGAAGCCATGGTAGCTATAATGATAGTGTTGGGCTTGGTTGGAAGTAGCTATGGAAGTTATGGAGAAAGCAGCAGTAACATGTTTGCATACTGTTCGCCTGTTGGTCCATCTGGTATTCATTTGCTTGGTCATGGCAGTACCTCAATGCTTGGAAATAGTCCTGATGCAAGGAGAAGGGTTGTTCCATACCAGGCAGGGAGTGCTCGAGGCATAAGCCCATCTGCTGGAACTTTCACCCATTTGCCCCTTGGTGCGAGTCCCTCACAATTTACTCCTCCAAGTCCTATACACAAGTTTCAGCAAGCTCTCCTGGACACTATGGACCTACTTCTCCTGCAAGAGGCACTTCTCATGGATCACCGTTGGGGAAGACATCTACCATTAGCCAGTTAATAGAAGAAAAAATGGGGATGTTCTGGAAGTCATCAAACTCAAGATATAACATTTTCTCCACATTGGCAAGTTCACTGTCCTACAGCTCCATCTATGGTGAAGGAACAGCTCAATTTCTTAGCAGCTCGCCATCTTATCTGCAATCAAATTGATGATGCTGCAAGCCGGAAGCAGCGCGGAGGTGGAAACTAATCAGAAAATGGCATGTTTGTTTATGCCAAGTTCTATTCAAACTTGCAACCAACAGAGTTGGGACATGACAACCCAGAGTCTTGCCTATCATTGCCTGATCCTGGTGATTGGGATCCTAATTATAGGTAAATGGTTGGATTTTAAACATCTATTTTCTGTTTGATTTGTTCTTAGGATTATATCTTGCATGTCTGTTTTTGCTTCCCTTTTCCATTATTATAGAAATAGATCTCACATTGTATTAGTGAGGACTATATATGTTTTTTTTTTTTCAAATCATGTGAGGATCAAGTTCCAACAGTTGTGTTGAAGATGAGGACCCCAAAGCCCCGCAAAACAAATCTTACCAATTTGCTAAATGTGAGAGGTTGGGCTTTGATAAGATTCTATTAAAGACTTATTGAAGAAGGAAATGATAGAAGTTAATTAAGTCTGATTGTTAGTCTTATTATTTGATTTGAGTTTAGAATTATTTAGGAAAGCTTTATTAGATTTTTGGAGATTTCTTTAGATTTTATTCAGTATTTTTCCAGTTTTAGACTTTAGGATATTTATTCAGTTTTTGTTTAATTGTCTAGTTATCTAGATTTTATTTTGTATTTTGGAGTGTCTTAGCTTTATAAAGATGCATAGTAACTCAGAAGTTAGTATATCATGAATAAAACAATTTTTAAACCCCTTAAAGATTCTCTTAAGCATGGCTATTGAGAGAAGTATAAAACGACATTCTTGTTCTATATCATTAATAGATTTAGTCCTCTTATTTCATTTTGTTAACTTTGAGCACCTAACAATTTTGGCATTAGAGCCTGGGTACAATGGTGACCACAGGTATAGGGAATGAAACCACCAAACCTACTGCCACATCATCCCACAACACATCCCCTAATATAGAAAACTTAGACAAGCAAAACCTGTTGGCAGCAGATCAATTAGCTATCATCACTTCAAGACTAGAGACGCTCAACTTATTAAAA